AACGAGCAAAAACCTCTCGGATTTGTTTGGCGACCGCATGGTATTTGCTGAAATTACATGGAACTATAATAAGTTCTGGACATAATTTTTTAGCAATGAAACCTGGCATCGCACTACGTACACCATACTAAAATAATAAGTAAATAAGATTGATTTCATTTTTCAAAACAAGTATCATTCAATTTATTAACTTATTTGTAGTAAATTTTAGTTTATATTCATTTTTTTTTTTTTGATAACAGATCTTGACAGATGAACTACCCTTAAATTTAAGACTTATGGGTGTCCGACTATCTAATTTACGTTCACGTAACGAAGATTGTGGATTGAAGAGGGTAAGTCTCATGTTTGTATTAGAATTATATTTTTGTTTCATTTTTCGTCTTTTAATATAATATTTGAATATTTTATAGTGGTTTTTTAAACAACAAAGTCCTTCATCAAACCAATCAACAATTCGTAAAGAACCTGAAAATCCTTCATCGCAACAATCAACAATTCGTAAAGAACCTGAAAATCCTTCATCGCAACAATCAACAACTCCTAAAGAATCTGAAAACCTTTCATCAGAACAATCAACAACTTCTAAAGAACCTGAAAACCTTTCATCAGAACAATCAACTATTCCTAAAGAATCTGAAAATATTTCATCAGAACAATCAACTATTCCTAAAGAATCTGAAAATATTTCATCAGAACAATCAACAATTTCTAAAGAACCTGAAAATCCTTTACAAAAATCAACAATTCCTGGAGAATCTGAAAATTCATCGTTGCAACAATCAGCAATTCCTAGAGAATCTGAAAATTCATCATCAGAACAATCAACAATTCCCAGAGAATCTGAAAATTCATCATCAGAACAATCAACTATTCTTAAAGAACCTAGGAATCTTTCATCACAACGATCAACAATTTCTAAAGAACCTGACCTTGGACTATCAAGATCAGCGAAATCTGAGATCAATTGCCTGAAGCGGGTATATAATATATATATATATATATATATATTTTTTTTTTAAAAAAAAAAAAATTCATTATATAAT